CAACCAAGAGAACCAGAAGAGGACAGTTTTAGGTGGGGACTCAGCAGCACCAAGCAGAAGAGGAGAACAAGTAGCCTCACCAGCCACACTCCTCCTGATGTAGCCCAGGACGTGGTTTCCACTGCGAGCTTATGCTTACCTGGGATCCTCTGTTACCTCTTCCTGCTCCTTTTCAGCAGGGCTGCTATTCCACTACTAGGTTTTCTTTTCAGTTAAAAGGTCCTTGTGATACCTCATGGAGTAAGATGTTAGGGGATGTCACTATCACCTGTATGATGCTTGGAAAGGACAATTTTTCTCAGAAGGGTAGTTAATTACAAATGATCACCTCTCACTGTCTAGCTCTTTCACAGCCCTGGGCAGCACTTGTGCGACTGCTGGAGGAGGGGGGATGACCCCATCCTGGAGGCACCTCGGCGTGGCTGACAGAGGGCCAGCCCCACGCCAGCGGGAGCCTGGTGGCCCCGGTGCCCTGGCAGAGTGGGGACCCAGGCTGCCTCCCAGCTGGGGGCCTTGCACCCACCAGCCCGTCATCCTTGGCAGTGACTGCTGCTGGCTCACCGGCCGGAACAACCGCTGAGAAAAGCCCACGAGTCCTGCCTGGGGGAGGGAGGGAAACAACCCCAGGAGGCAGAGTCAAAAAAAGGCTCTGAACTGCCTCGCAGAGGCCGCTGCGCCTCAGCAAGCATCGCACCATGCTGCACTGGTGCGTGGGGTGGCGGGAGGGAGGGGGAACCCTTTGTTGGGCCAGAGACGGCAACTCGCCCGCCACAGTGTCCGGGCGACCTGTGAAACAGAAAGCAGAGCGCAGTCCAGAAGCATACAGAGATCACAAGTCCATTTAGAGCCATGCTGGGTTTTGGTATTTGCTCCCGAAAGGCGGGGCTACACCACCTCACCCTTCCTTTCCTTTCCCCAACCCTCCTCTCCTCTCCCATCCCCAAAACCCCAGCCCTCGCTAGCAAAAATTAATTGCTGTGAACACACAGAATCCCCTGCATCCTCTTCGAAGAGCAGTTTGCTGCCTGGCGGGAGCGCCAACGCCGCTGCTAACCACCGGCCATTGTCACGCCGCGGCGAAGCAGCCGAGGCCGAGTCCTCTCGCAAACAGGGGCAAGGACAGCAACCACCTCCCTGGCCAGCAACACGTGAGGACTGGCAGTGGGGAGGAGTGGAAAGCCTTTGGGCTTTGCAGACCTGCTCCACACAGCACAGCGTGAGACAGCGATCACGGAGTGGTGGCAGCAGCTCGCCCCCAGAGCCATCAGCTGCCGGCACCCCGTGGCCCAGGGCGCTCTGGAGGTCCCGGCCCCCCAGCGCTGCTGCAGCTTTGCCCAAGGGGCGATGCTGCAGAGGTGTGTGGCCCCAGAGCCCGAAGCGGGGGCAGCAGGGGGACAGCTGGATTCCCTGGGGGCTGCTGCGCTCCTACAGCACCCGAGACCTCCAGCTAAGCCTGCCGGCAGCAGGCGGGAGACGGCGGTGTGGAGCAGAGAGCAGCCCTTCTGCTGCTTGGCTGCGGACACTGAGGGAGGTGATAAGCAAATTCACAGGCTCCAGTTGTTCCTTCCCTACTCCTCCTGCTCCACCTTACAGCACCTCTATTCAAGTTGTCAGAGGATCAGCAGCCCCAAGCAGACCTGGATTTACCCCGAGGGCCAGGAGCCTCTGAAGTATCCCTCCCACCTCTCAGCTCAGCAGCACCAGCGAACTCTCCCTCCCAGCACAGGGCACAGCCCCAGCCTGCACCCCATTTATCTCAGTGCTGTTTGTTTGCTCTGTGCTATTTGAAAGCCCCAATACAGACTTCTCGCCATCACCCAGGACAAGGACATCCCCTGGGTGAGATGGGGATGGCCAGAGCTCAGGCGGCAAGGGGCAGTGGCCAGGCCCAGTCCCTTCTAGAGGACCAAGGAGGAAAAAATGTCTGTCCCCCCTTTCTAGTTATCCAGCTGTCAGGAGAGGAAAGGGGAACGTACTGGCTGCCCTGAGGGCTGCGCCCCGCCAAACATCCCTCTCTCTGCTCCCACCTGAATGCCGGGTGTCCTGGCACAGCTCCTTGAATGCTCCAGGACCCTGCCCACAACCATTTGGACTCGGGGTACAGGGCCACGAGAACGCAGCCCGTGCAGCAGTGGTGGGGGAAAAGCCCTGCCAAGTGATGCACTGGAAGGTAGCTCCGGTGACCCGGGTGTCATTTGTGAGGGGAATGACTCTGGCGCTGGCCAGGCTGCGTGCCGGTCACGGTTCATTTGCTATAGTGATTCATTTGGAAAGCTTCTACGCTGCAACTGCACGAGGTTCATACGCCCCTGTGAGATGGCAGAGGGCACCATGCAGCCTTGATCTGCAAATCTATATGCCACCCACTTATCATCATTAAAGTTCACTGGATGTGCTAGTGGTGTTTAGCCTGAACTAATGCTCTCTCTGGCTTTTTCTTCAGCTGGATATGAAAAAGCACGTTCACTTCATACCCTAAATTCTTGCAGTTTTGCATGGCAGCTTCATTTACCCTGACTGCCCCATTTTCCACCTCCAGCCGACCTAATGATGGTAGTTGTAAATGCTAGATGAAATGATGGCTGACTCCCCAACACTTCCGAGAGCACCAAGAGCCTTTAGGATGGGAGATGCTACAAGGCTACAAGAGAGAATTTCATATTACAGAAGCTGAAAGTTGTCCACCCGTTTTGCACCTCTGGCCTCAGCTCTTACCCTCGACTTGTCAGTCCTGAGGGAGTCTGTGGACTCAGGAGTCTGCTGCAAGGCCAGTGTTTAGTGCCTGCATCAAACTTCAGTTCGCTCGCAGCTGAAGCTGGGCAGACAGCAGCCTGCGTGCTGCCTGTAAGCAGAGCAGCAGAGGCTGTGTTTGCTGGTGAAAACACCAACAAATGCAGGTTGGAAGGAGAGGCCAAGTGCACAGAGCTGATCCAGGTTACCCATGCTTGACAATCACAAATTGGGATGAGAAAGTGCCTTTTCAAAACCCTTTTAACACATTCACCTTTGAGAGCTTTCAGCAAAAAGACAAGGTAGGAATGTTAAAGGGCCAAACTCCGGGTGTTTGCTTGTTCTTTCCTCGGGCAAACCCTCATTGATTGACTGTGAGAAGGGTAAGAGCTGAGCACAACTGACGGAGGAGTCCCACTGCTAACACTGAAGCACGCAGCCTCCCGGCAGAGACTAACAACAATAGACAAAGCTTTTCCAAATACACCTCGCTCTCTACCTGCTGCACGCTGCCAAAAACAACAGTCTGAGGCGTTGCTAGTTTCCTACCACTTTTAGAGCCAGAACCTTCCTCAAGCAGCAGGACTAACAGTCGTGTGGCAGGATTTTGGAGGAGTTCAACAACAGGCACGGCCAAGAGTGGGCTGGGGAGAAGTCAGTGCAAACACCAGCTGTGGGGAGCCTCTCCACAGCACGGGATCCTCTGGAAACAAGGGATACAACCAGGATCTCACTGTGGGATGAGCTTTCACACACAGCTGTTAGTGAGACCCAGACAGTCCTGTAGTCAGTATATCCAGACATGGACAGGCAAAGGCATCTGCAGGGGCAGCTACAAGATGATGTGCGGTCGGTGACCACTGCTAGAGGGTCTCCTGGACTTTACTGGGTGCCCCAGGCCAATTTTCTGAGCGGAGCTCTACTCGTGAGGAGAACAAGACAGACCCACCCACACTGGCCAGCCCACAAGCTGTATATGCCTAAGCAAGGCATTGTTTCAGCCAAACGGCTCACATGAGCACAGATTACTCATGCACAGGCTGCAGGACCAATACCCCAGAGCCCCTATGACTCCTTGTCGACTCAGGAGTCTCATCACTGCAATAATCACCACTCCATTCCCTGATGCCATCACACAACCCAGAAGTCAGGAGAACCTCTGATCTGTCATTGCACAGGCTGGGGATAAGCTTTGTGAAGACATTCAGTCTTATTGGGGTATCTTTCTTTGCTCTTAGCAAAGATGGGAGAGCATATCACTCCTGCTGCTGCCCCCATAGTAGGAAGGGCTCAGAGAGCTAATGCCAGCGTCAGGAGATTGATCACACAGGAGACCAAAAGCCTATGTTTGATAATTCCCCATCCACAACTCTGCCAATCACGTACCACTTCTGAGTCCTGAGCCAGCCAGCTGGGCCTACACTCTTGCACACGTACACAGTCGCTGTCTTAAGCCACGCATCCGCAGTCACTAACCCGTCACGCCCAAGCATACCTTTTCTGGATTACATCCCTTCCCTCTCCCACAACGCCACCAAGAGAATTGGTTCCTCAGGGACTGACACTCGCACTCACCTCACTGCCCCCTGCTCCCTTTCCATGCAAGCAGACTCACTGCAAGATGGGGTCTCACGCCCGTGCAAGTTGGGAAACTGCATACAAACCGGGAGGGTGCATGGTCTTCTGGCTTGCCCTCAGGCTCAGCCTCGTGCCTAATGGTCCTCAGCTTAGCAAGCTTGCTGGCAGAAGAGGGACATTCCCATCCTGTCCTTCACATCCTCTTTCACCAAGACAGTTTATGAGAAAGCTGAAATGATCTAAGCAGTCACCTCCATCCACCCTTCCTGGCTACAGGGACATCTCCCAGGATCCCAAATACGTCTCACATATAAGAGACCTCTGGGTGAGACTTCCTGGTAGCCATCCCATTGCTGTAGAGTCAGAGCCATCAGATCACTCACTCGCACCACCGAGCAAGTGGCAGGTTTTCATGAGAGGCAGGAGCAGTGAAATGTCACAGGCAGCAATGAGGTGGAATGCTCAGTGCGTGGCACGGGGATGGTGACGTCTCACAGATGTGCTGCAGCATGCTCCCACAGGCAGGGAGGAGGCAGGCTCAGAGTGGATCTGGGTGGCGTGGAGTGGTGTGTTCTCCCAGCAGAACGATGCCTGCTTCTCCATCCCACCCCAACACACATCTGACGCAGCACCAGAGGACCCAGATGTGGAACAAACCTCTTGGGAAGAGGAAAGACCAAGAGGCCGTTTCATTTGGCTTGCAAGGATTTAATAGTGCTGCCTGGCATCACTCACTCAGTGGAGAAGTGGAAAGAGGACTGAGGTCAGAGGCCCAAACATCACCCTGAGTGCATAGGCAGGCATGCCTCCCCCAAAGGTCTTTGATACGACACATTTATTTTGCTGTGTGGCAGTACTGTACAAAACACATACATTACCAGCAGTTTCAGAGCCCTGAGCTGTCACTCCTGCCTTCCCTGAATTTCGGAGAGGCAGGACCACTGTCCCCTTTCTCCATTTCACCTGCAAGGAAACAGGCCAAGAAAAGTCCAAAAACACAGAGGCACTTGCTGACAGGTCTGGAGACGAACCTCAGAAAGCCCAACTCCCTGTCTACCACTCTCACCATTTGGGTTCCCTGTCCCTGGTGCTGGGAGAGGAAGCCCTCATGCCAGCTCTCCACAAGGTCTCACTCCTCTGAGAAACTATCTGCACACCTGAACAGAAATCAGACTAAGGAGATTGTGAAAACTAATATAAACCCTATTGAATTTTAAAGGGGCATACCACCTCTCTCTGAGGGGCTGAGAAATGTTTTGGGGCATTCTAGGCAGGGCTGGGATTCTCTTAAATTCTGTAAGATTGTTTAAGAAAAAGCCAAGGAGAGGCTTTTGCTTTCAGTGCAGTTCCACTGGAATCTGAGTGGGATTTCCCCTGCTCAGACGGGGAAAGAAAGTACCCTGCCCTTTGTGACACAGAGTATCCCACACCTCCTCCTCCTAAACCATGAAACAGTAGAGCTCTGGTACCGACTCCACCTCACAGTGACACAGAGAAAGCTAATGCTGTAACAGGCAAGGACAGTACAGCGTGTAATGTGGAACAAGACCCAAAAATAGCCCACAGAATAGACAGAAACAGTCAGAAAGGCAAATGTGCCATGGAGAGAAGGGACAGAGGGAGCACCCGGGCCTCTCCCACCAGTTCATGTCAGTATGTGGAATGGTGCATCCAGCTCAGGAGAGCAACGACCCAGTTCCCCATCTGAGACCCCTTCAGCCACAGGAAGAGTTCATACAAGTTGATCTGCCACAGGCTCAGGGCTTCTGTGAGTGAGATCTGGGCCCTCCTGTAAAGCGAGTGACTCTTGCTCCTCTGGTACCTAGAATGAGAGAAACAGCTGCATTAGATCCAGCACGACGCAGCCTGGCGGAAAGGAGGCCTGTCCCATATCTTCAGTACAGCTGACCCTCCCCAGGGGAGGGCAATGTCCCACATCTGAAGAATCACCAGCAGTGGGATTTTTTCCAAGTAATGTTCCTGAGGATCTGGGGACTGCCTTCCTAGGACAAACCTGGCAGAGGAGACAGCCTGCTCCCTCATCAGCCCAGCTCTCTCCCCACTGTGCGCAGTGACCCTGGGCTATGGCATCCTCTGCCCCTATGCCCAGCTTCACTTCAGCTAACAGGGACAGGTGCACACTCCTACAGCCTTTCCTGGTAGCACACTCATAAGAGTCCAGCAATCCTGACACACTGATTCCAGGAAAAGTAATTCTCCATCTTTCTTTAGAAGCAGAGGTTAACTGGGCTTCATAAGTCCCTCATCAGCCAGAGAAATAACTGTTATTTCTTCTGTAAGGAGGAGGAATCTGAGGCAGAAGTGCTCTGACTCATAAGAATCACAGATGGAAATCACTTGCACGACTCCTTTTCCTGGCTTTTAAACATCAGCCTGATCTTCAGACCTAGCCCCTCAATCAGGCTGCAGAAACTGGCAGCAGTGAACTTGCAGATCTTTCTTACCTACAGATACTTGCCAGTAGTGATGCCTGTAATGGGCAGAAATCCCCTTCCCCTCCTCTGGAGGGACCAAACCTTAAACCCTCCCCCTAAGGCCTCTAACTCCAACCCTGTCCTCAGCCCCAGGGTGACAGATCTGTCCACTGGAGAGGCAGATGGACATGGGAGCAGCACACAGAGAGGCTGAGATGTGTAACTGAGCAGGGGTAGGACCACAACAGATGTGCTAATGAGGGGGAGAGGTCTAGAGATAAGAGTAAGAGGTCAAGAGGTCAAGTTAGGCCCTGTCAGTGTTCTAAACTGGGGGCTCTAATAAGCCTTAATGGCTCTGACTAACCTCAGACCTGTCCCAACCCTCTGCTCATAGGCCCAGAAGCTCCAGTTAATTTCAGGCCTGCTCTGTCAGTCCCTGCCTGAGCTACACTGGAGGAGTAATGGTCCCCAGCTCATGCCTTGCTGTGAAGCCCCTTGACCTGGCCATCAACCCACATATTGACCTCTTGGCTTGACTTCAGCCCCGTTCTGTCACCATGGACCTGCCTGACAACCACTAGACCTGGTCTACAGATTGACTTCCTGGTTTGACTTTGGACCTGCCCTGTCACCACGATGTTGCATTACGATATGGACTTTTGATTGGACCTGACCACCATCTTAGGGTCTGCCCTGCTCACCTTGCTCAGCCACTGTGGGACTGGGTCTGGCTGGCTTGCTGGCCCTGGGATCCCCCCATGACTCCTGACCCCCAGGGACAGCCAGCCCCTGATGCTCTATGTCTGGCCTCTGGTGACTGGAGAAGAGACTCACGTGGAAACAGCTCTGATGCAGCAGCGAGACATGTTGAGGAAGGAGCTGGCACTGGCTCGCGTGTGCAGGGCTGACTCAATCCCCCTTAACAAGTCATTGGTCTTCAGCAGCAGCAGCATCTGGCGGGGGACATTGTTGAGAAGCTGGGTGATCTGGGGTAGGTAAGCAGCAGCGTTGGACCGGATCTCCACATCCTGCAGCCAGACAGGTCATGTCAGGGAGAAAGGAGAGAGAAGCTGAGAGTGCATGGGAAGCCCAGGTCCAGATGAAGCAGAGATTTGTCAGGAAGAGACCGTGTTCTTCCAGACCATGACTCCAGGCCAGAAGCTAAAGAGCTCTTTGTCCTGCTTTCCTGCAGACACTTGGCTGTCCCAAGCACTCACAGCACAGTCACAGATCACTCTTGCCATATCCCACCCCCACTTCAGTGAGGTAAGGCCCTGTCCCCCCACTGGCAGGATTAAAAGCCTCTCTGGAGAACCAGGCACTTGCTGCTATCTCAATTCCTGGACCCAGGCAACCCGCAGCAACCATGTATCATTACTGCCCTTGCAGCTTCTGACTGAATCTCACCTCACCAGCTCCAAAGCTGGCAGAGCTGCAGGCAGCACAGGACTGTTGAGGCATGCTGCAAGGATAACCAGGCTGCTCCTTGACTTGCTATCTCATGCAACTGATGGCTTTATGCTATATTGATGAAGTTCTTTCCAAGGCTTAGTTTAGCCCTCTGTCCTCAACACAACTCAGCAGAGGTGAGAAAGCATTATGCAGTTAAGTGTCATGCTAACCCAAAAGATCAAAAACTGTCACCTGTCAGATTAAGGGCCTATCTAGACCCATATCCTGTCTGGCAGCAGCCAGTAGCAGACGCTTAAGGAAAGAGTGTAAGACCAAGGCAGACACAGGGTGATCCTTCATGTTTCTTGGTTCTCCAGCTTCCAACAAATACACTGCCCATGGTAAGAACCCAGTGATAACTGATGGGCTACAGCCTGAGCCACTTAAGATGGGCTCCCCTCCAAACATGAGCCACCATAAAATGCAAGACAGCCAGTCCCCACTTCTGCCTCTTTTTAGATGTGAGAGTTCCCCCACCATTCCGGTATATGTACCACAGTGTGGTGTGGAGCTGATTCCCTATACATACTGTGTCCCTACCTCTTCCTACAGAGGCCATGACATAAATCAGCAAATCCGAACAGAAGCCCCTGGAACATCTGAAAGCTTCAGAATCCAGCAGGACACATGCAGAGGGCAGTAAATGACTTCTTACAGGAGGAAGGCTCCTTTGTGGGAAAAGGGAAAAGACAGCTCTAAAACCTTCTCTCCTCTGGAATGAGGGCTGGTCAGCCTGTATTTCATGATATGGGATCTCACACTCACTCTTTGGGAACATCAGACTTATTATAAAGGAACAGACCTGCACAAATCAAGTGAATAGGTCATGATGGTCAGAGATGTATACAGCTCACACACCACCATGGTTGCTTTGCTGCTGACAAATATATCTTTGTGTCCTCCTGCCTCTGTCACTGACCGAATACACAAAGCTTCAGCAAGAAGACACTTAGCTCTCCTAAATGTTAAATGTTTTGTTCCATTATGTGTTGGCAGAAAATTCACCCATGATTATCACTTATCCCTTGTCCTATCCAGCTTCACTGAAGAGCCTACTTTATTTTTCACACATAGGTTTTCTTTTCTATTTCTTTTCTTTTTATTTTTAGCTCCAGCTGCTTGTCCACATCACAAAACAACCACATGATCTGTCATCAGAACTGTCATTTTATGTCAAGAGCGAAGCCTGTGCACAGCGGGAAAAATAAGTTATGCCACAGGACCTGAGAAAAGCCCCTTGGCTGCAGTCACTGATGCTGCTGCAGGATGCAGCAAAACACAATCATAAAATCAGATGAGATGAGGCTAGCAGCCACCCTGAACAGTCAGCTGCCCGACCTCGGTTGAAGGCAGGAACAACTTTACCTATGGCAATCCTCACACATTTGCCTAGCCTGCTCCTAAAGCTCTCTAGTGATGTGACTCAAAGCTTCCCTGGATCACCCACACCAGCGTGTCACTGGTCTTGCCATTAGATCTGGGTTTTCTCAAGTTTAACCCCAATCTTCTTAGCTGAATTTAAACCCATTACTTCATCCTATTTGCAGCAGTCTTTAACGGATTTGAAAATCACTGTAACCGCCCTTCTCAACCTGCACTCTTCTAGACTTTTTCTGCCCTAACTTGCTCAGACTTACCTCATGGGTTGCATCTGCTTGACCACTTGTCTTTGTAGCTTCCTACTAGATTTACCCCAGTTTCATCAAACCTTTCTCAAGATGCAGTGCCTCAGGCTGGACACAGCATTACAGATAAGATTTTGTTCCAGAACGGTTGCTTCCTTGTCTCACAGGCTACTCTTATGTCAACACATACTCAAGCATACCCTCTGGAGCTCTGTGCTGATGGTACCTGCCTACACGGTGCTTGGCTCTTGATGCTGAGGCAATCTTTCAAATTCACCCCTAAACTAAGAGCAAGCAGCAGCTCATTTCCTAATGCCACAGCAAATCTGCCCAGCTCCCCATTATCTGCTACAGGATTGTCCAGTTTCAGCATTAATTGTGTCATGTAAGCAAAGACAACAGAGCTGGCTCCATACATGCAATTCAACTCAATGACAAAGTTCATTAGCCCACACAAGGCACCATGCGGCTGCAGTTACACCCCTGGCATAACTTTCTGTTATGGCATACCTGGCATAACAAACCAGTTTAGGATAAACATTGCTTATTAGCTCAGATTCAACACTGGCCTTGCGCTGTGTCAATTCGCTTTGGTGCCTCTAAATTTTTTTCTGGAGCTACCAGCTTCAGAAATCACCAGCTTAAGCACAGATCTGCTAGACAGTCACTACATTATTTCTGATATGCAGAAAATTAACTCAGGTAGGAAGCAATCAAGTTACCGGGTGGGGGGGTCCATTACCCAAGGTATCTGACCTACTCATTGCTATGGTTAATGGCAAGCCAGTGCAGCAAATTCTGCCACATCCATCAAAATTAAACGCCAACCCAAAGGAATTTCCAGAAGAGAATTTCACAGGACTATAAGACTACTTAAATGAATTTCATCCTCTCTACTACAAATGCATGCAGATAAAAACAAACCATAGGATACAACATGTTTCTACCTACAGACACTAGTCCATTGACTGAAATCACATCACTACATGCTCATCTCTAAAAACAGCACAGTTGGCAGGGGTTGCTACTATTAAGATGGTGTGTGCGTGTCAGGAATGTGAGGAGGCATGAAAAGGATCCCAGCATGTGTGGATAGGAAAGGGTGGAGAATGTAAGTGGCAATTTCCTAGATTTGTAGTGATTGAGCTGACAGGATCTGCAGTTAAGCAACCTTGACTCCAAGTTAATAGGGTTTCTGATTGGGTGGTAATTTCCAAGGGTTTTTAGGAGTTTGTATCAGTGCTGATAGTCATTTACATGAATAGTGATAATGCATTATCCTTCTCATGTCTTTCCACTAAGCCTTTATGTCTCCTCTACCTTAACCTATCCTCCTTGATGGTTCCTTGCACAGCTGCATTCAACCCTTTTTTAAGAAAAGGCTCATCTACAAATATTTCTCCTGCCAGAACTGGTGAACATTTAGCCGTTAAAAAATTATACAAAATTTAAGTAGCCCGTGACAAGTGAAACTGGGAAATTAAGTTCAGCCTCTATAAAACACATTGCAGAAGGAGTCCTGGCTTTTTCAAGCTCAGCTATCAATGCATAATTGGCTACGGAGCTGCCAGGGGTTGCCCAGCATCGCTGTGATATCAGTGGTTCAAGTGGTTACAACAAAGAAAGGTACCCAAGGAGAACTGAGGGCGCACGATAGGGAGGGGCACACAGGACCTACCTCACTGGCTGAGACGGGCGACCGGTCGATGCCCCTGTTGACAGACTCCCAGGATCTGGCGGTCAGCATGCAGGCGAAGAGAGGGTACAAATCCCCTGCCCCGAGCCGCCGGCTGTACTTCTGCACCCTCTTCATATCAGCCTTGATGAGGGCCTGCCAAAGGCGGCAGTAGTCCATGCGGAACGACTCACTCAGCACCTGGGGAGGGAGACATGGCCCCCAGAAGTCCGTGGAGGACAGGAAACTGGGGTGGAAAGCCTTGTGCACCCTTGTTGTGCCCTATCCCCCGTTTCAGAGCCAGGAAACATCCTTGGAGAGTTATGGGAGTAATGGGAGAAGTATGGTCTTCGTGGGGCAAAGTTGCAGCTGGGTGTGCTCTTTCACCCTGATGCCCACAGGCAGCCTCAAAAGGCCCTGAAAGCCTCCCACAGCTACGTACCTGGTAGAGCCCATGGTCCAGGAGGATGATGTGAGCCTTCCCAGAGGCTGGGCACTTCTTCACCAGCACGTTGCCTGGGTGTGGGTCACAGTGCACAAAGCCATTCACAAAGATCATTTCACTGTAGAGCTTTCCCAGGTTACGAGAGATCTGTGAGGAGACAGAAGATGTTCACACAATGCCGCCCACGGCAGGGAGCCTGACAGGGAGGGGAGACAGCCCCCCCGCATGCCAACGCTGCGGGGAGAGGGGGTCTGGTATGTGCCCATGTCCCCACGCAGAGCTCTTGCAGCTCCTCACGCTGACAAATGCGGACGGTGGCTGCTGGCATCTACCATGGGGAGACCCAGGGCATTCAGGGAAGGATCCATGCAGGGGGCACCATGAAGGTGTTTGTGAGGCCAGGAGTTATTTAGAAACACTTGCCTGGCATCAAAAAAGAGAAAATACTTGTGGGTATTTTGTGAGAATAGACAAGAATGTGGCTTGTGGTAATGAGGAGTAAAGTGAGACAGCAGATAGGGGCAAACGGGCATTCGCAGGGAAGGCATGGAAAGAGCTGCTGGGGTGGGTGGGAGACTGCTTGGAGGAAGACTCAGGTGTTTCCACCCATGGATGGCAGCAGGACCCAGCGGAGAAGGGGTGGGAGGAGACTCAGCCTGTCCCTCTGCTTACCAGAATGAACATGGGTTCCCTCTCCCTTCCCTTCATCACACTGTCCCCCACCTTCCCCCTTCCTTTCCTCAGACCCATGCTAATCTGATTTGCGATGTCTGTGAAAATGAAGCAGCACAGAAAGGCTGTTTAAATCATCCTGTCACTGCTGTGTCCCTCCATGCCACTGCTCCTTATCACCAAGAGATGTTATTAAAGTTAAAAACCTCCTAGGAGCAAGCAAACATCCGCAGGGCCCAGGATCAATCCCTCAGCACACACTAACACAGCAGCCTCGCCCTGACATCCCACCGCCAGCCTGCTCTGCCATCAGAGCAGCACGGTGCTCCACAGCGGAGTGCTGAACAAGCAATTGGAAGACAATCGTTATAAATGATTCCAAGCATGTCCCCAGACACACGGTGTAAGCAGCAAACAGGCAGCTGTCCCCACAAGCAGAGGTGGTAGAAGAGGTAACGGGGATATTAACGACAGCACGTCCTGCAGAAAACCAGCCAGCCAGGGTCAGGCTTGCCTTACCCACCTCTGAAACATGGCCACCTCTGAGAAAAGCGTTCATCATGAATAGTGACCAAGAAACTACAAATGAGCAGAAAGAACGGGAACCCTTCCTGCAGCACACCAACAGGGTGTGAGACAGCTGTAGGACCAGGTGGGACAACCCTCCATCACTCAAGTGGGACCTGGAGCCACTATTGAATCATGGAGAATGCTGTCCCCATGCCCAATCACCCACACAGGTGGCATAGCACATGCCACACAGGCGTCATTGTAAGTACTGTCTGAAAGGCATGGTGTTTCCCTTCTGAATCACCAGCAGAGATCACTGGGGCAATTAAGCAGACCAACAATCTCCAGAATTGGATAGAGCCAAAGTATCAGGTGCCGTGACCTCCTAAAAGAGCTGAGTAGCACCTGCTGAGTCCAAGGATACGCCAGATAGTCTGTTTAAAGCCAGTCACTCATTCACACAGCCTCCCAAGGACCTGCACACCAGGAGGAATGGACTTGGATATCATGACTGATCTTCAACCACAACACCTGTGCACACACTGAGCGAATCCTATTTTGCTCTACCTGTCTCAGCTGTTTGCCCTCCAGGGACCTGGAAGAGCACAGAATTATTGAAGATGAGGACTTGGGGACAATCTGGAGCACAATGTGATGCCTCATACCCATTAAACACAAGTCCAGACAAGGGTTGGCAATTCTGCAAACCTGTTGATTGGTCATGGGTAAAGCCTGGAGAGCTAGTAATTTGAGGCACTAGAGTATGGGCTGCTTCAAAGAACGCAGGTTCTCCTTCTGTGCTGCAGTAATGGCATAGGTTGGGAAAGTCAAGCAGTGGAACAAGTTGCCCAGAGAGGTTGTGCAATCTCCATCTTTGGAGGTTTTAAAGACCTCATTGGATAACACCCTGAGTAAGCTGGTCTGAACTCATAGATGACCCTGCCTCAGCAAGAGGATGATAGGAGACATCCTGAGGTCCCTTCCAATCTCAAATATCCTAGGATCCTACAAAAACACCTCTCACCAAGTTATCACGCCACCCTCAGAACAGCATCTTATGGTATGGCTGTAGGTTTCAGGCGCAGGGAAGGTCTCCCTCTCCTGAGCCACCATCAGCAGACAGGTCACTAAACGGATCTGTGGTCACAGCCTTTTGCTTCCTACAGTGCAACACAAAAGAAGCTCGGGATTCATCTTCCCATCTTACCATGAAAACAGAGGGGTCACAGCCCTGTTCAGACCCACAGGCCATAGGCACAAGACAATCTTCACTGCAAGATCCCCATCCTCTCTCCTTTCCCTGCTGTACTTATATTTACCTCTTCCTCAGCATGCAAACTTGAGTATCTGCAATAGTTAATTCATTGAAACTAGACTTGATGAATTCTTTAAGAAAGAGGAATGCATTCTGTATAATTTAGTTAGCATACAGAAGATATGTTACAAGGATTTATGATATAAGCATATAAACAGTCTTTACTTTTGGAAAAAAAAAAAAATTACCCAGTGTAAGAGATGGAGCTGCACTGCACACTGAAGTATTTTTGCATATTTTTGTCTGTTGACATACGTCTAAAATAGGATAAAAATTAAATTAAGATAGAAAGTACCAATACTGTCAAATTCTAAACAAAAAAGGGAAGTTATATTTCTAGGGCTTAGAGTGTAATATGTGAATAGCAACCAATCATTATAATTCAGACAAAAGAAGTTCCTGTTTCTAGAGAAAAAGTTTAGGAAAAAAACATGAAAAGTTTATATACATTAATTCTCCAGTACGGTGCCCCATTGCTATGGGCCTTTATTCCATCCTTATTGAGAAGGCCACTGGATAAATAACATATACAGAATTCACTTTGGAAGAATGCAATTAGGTGACACGAGAAAAGAAATGTGTGAAAACCTCTACTCTGGAGAAGGGAGGAATTCAGTATGCATTTAGGCTGGGTAAGACCTCAGGGTGAAGGTGCATTGCAAATTAGACAAAAGGTTGCAGTGATTTACAGAAGCAAAGACCAAAGTAAATGCACAGGCATTTTGTTATGACACGGAGAGGTCATCATTCCCTTCCATGTTTATCATCCAACACAATGAGGTCCTTATAATTACCAGGGTCCCCCAGCATTGTTCTACTGCACATCGTAAAAAAATAATAATCACCCTTGGAATCCTGCATTCACTTCCAAACACCTCATTAACAGAGAGATGCAGACTATGCAGAGTGAGTTCAGAGAAAGCAAATAAATGAGCAGGATACAGGAGGAATTTACTTGGGAAAAGATTAAAAGAGCTGAAGATTCTGAAGTTGGCTAAGGAATGGCAGAGGAGGGGCAGTCTACCAATATTAGAAGGTTTGAATAGCAAGGAAGCAGAAGGGCTTGTAGCACTGGATGTGCTACAAGTAATACAACTAGGCAGAAGGGGGTGTAATCAAGAATGGCATAATTTGAGCATAACACATAAGAAAAAAAAGCTATGCTCGTCAGCAAGCAGAGCTGAGCTTGATACATCAGGATGACACCAGACTCTGGACAGAGGCATGTCCTTGCCTACTGTCAGAAAGTGTATTATTGCCTAAAAGAAGTTCAATTTGTCTGTCTGTGCTGCAGCAGAACATGATGACTACAGTCACCAAGTGAGCCTGTGGCCTCACCACTCAATGCAAATAGCAACCTGCCATTGCCACATTACATGACATGACCATGACACTGTGTCAGGCAAACCACACATTTTCAGCCCAATATTTTCATTTTGAAAAAACTGTAGCTGAGGAATAAGCAGATTGCAGATAACGAAATGGAGAGTCAGTAGCCTGAGCAAAAACAATGGAGTGACAGATACATGTATAAACAGCTAGACTTGGAATAACTCTTCACCAAACTAAGCACATGAAGTTCATTTTATGTACTCAATATGGCAAGGATGCTACATGTCACAAACTATCCTACGTGAGTTACAAGCCAATACAGAAGAAAATAAGAATGCAGTGCAGACATTAAGGATTGTTATCGTACAGTATCACATAGTCTCTCTATAAACTTGTCAAGTTCACTGGAAATAAGTAAGACAGAAAGCATGACTTCGGAGGCTGTTCTAGAAATTCACTCTTTAGATGGTCAGAACCTTTCTCCTAAACCCCAGCCTAATTTTAATGATGTCCAGTTTAAATCATCTCCTCAGCTAACATAACCCTAGTTACTTCCCTCTCCAGTATTTACTACTCCAATGTGTTCACCAGTAAGATAATTATCAGCATAAATACAGCATAAATATTACCCCATTTCTACAGGATGCTCCTTTATCTGATGTGTCCTAGGAGTCAACCTGCCTTTTACACACACTGCACTGGAAACACACAATTACTCTGCAGTTGACTAATATCCCAAAGTTCATTCTAATATATCAATTCCCTCTGATAAACTCCCAGTGTATTTAAGAAACTATTAGTTTTTAAGCGCATGGGTTTTCACTTGGTATTGCTCATTTTTATCCCTTTCTATCACTTCAGCCCACAAGGTCACCAAGTGCTACTGCTACTCCAGTCCTTCTCTACAATGACACAACCTCTCAACTTGGTGTCATCAACAGCCTCCTTCATACAGTTCTGTTAGTGTGAAGGTCATCACTGAATTTATTAAATAAGATCAGCTTGAAGAGCAAACCACCATCAGTTTTTTACCTACTTTGCAATTTCCCTACTAATCCTCATTTTCTCTAGTTAACTGACTCATACCCAGTATTTTATCAAGTAAGCCTACTGCCTTTCTGTCATCTAATTCAGAGTATGCCAAGCTGTAGTATACATAGCAGCAGTGATATATTTCTTCTTGTGTATGTACACAGCTGCAAACTGTTGCTGCCATTGGTTTTGAAAGTCTGTTATCCTCACATAATCCACTAGGAGTTACTTTTGATGTTATTATACTCCCTTACATACAGCCCCATAGCAGCAAACTCCTGGGCACACACCAGCCCCTGTAGGCAACTCACCTCGTAACAAATCAGCACATCCAGCTGACAGAGCAACCTGATGATAACAAAACACTGGAAAGTCCATCAGAAATTAGTATCTTTACAAACACCAATACACAATGGTTAGCAAGAAACCTCTCAGAAAGGAAAGAATGAGTGCAAATTTGAGCCTATGAATACCCCTACAGTAACCAGTTGGCACATATAGCATGTTCATGGGTAGCTGAAGCATAACAAACCAGTCTGGGAAAGTCACGGATACTTTCCTGGACTTGTGAGCAAGCCAGGGTGGTCCTGGCTCCATGCCTCCAATGGACATGAAGAAGAAAGGCAAAATAAAAAATCCTGTGGCATGGTCCTGTAGAGCTGATCTCACTGCTGGCTCCTGATAAGTCCCAGATGAAACTGCCTGATACGGCATCATCCCTTCCTGTCCCACCTCCATCCGTGACTGTCTCTTTAGATCAGGAGCAGATACTAGTCTCTGGCCTTAATTTGGCTGTAATATTTACCAATTATTTTAAGAGATGGCGACACTAACTTCTATTGATCTCATTAAAAGTAAAGGTCGTTGTGCAGCTCATTTCTCAGGGCTCAATATTACCTCCTCAGGCCAAAATAATAGCATTGATTTTGGAACCTTAATCGAAGGTTAATTGGATTGAAGAGTGTATTGGGTTTTTGCTTTCTTTCGTTGTTGTTATTACAGCCATCATCTAAGGGTTTACTTAATCCTGCTAGGCCAATCCTGCCCAATTAAACTGGTGTCAAATTAGCAAAGGTTGCGGATGGAGAATAGCCACAGTTTGAAGCCTGCTCTGTGTCTCTGCTCTGAAATGGCTCTTGTCCATCGCAGATTAGGATGGTCACACACAAGAGGTTCAACTTCACACTCTGCCCTCTGTGATCCAGTTGTGAGGGTCAAAACACAGTGCTCTATAATGCAGTACTATCACTATGCACTGGTCTAGCATCGCAGTGAGGTGATGCCTGGATACACACGATGTCATTAAAATACAGGAATAGTTTTTAGGACTCCTGGAGTGTACTCCTAGCATGCCCTATGCTCTCTGTTGGGGACTGAGGAATTTATTTTTCTGCTCAATGCCCCACCTGCCACAGCATTTAAGCAGGGAGAAATATTTTGACTCATATACCCAGGGAACTGAGGGGACAACTTAATAAGTTTCTACAGATTCTCAAAAGAACACAGGTAGAGAAGATCAGTCATTGTTTATTTAGTTGTGTCTTGCATCTCTGCCAGACCCAAAATGGCCATGGGGATCACTTTCCCTTGGCTTTAAACGTAGTCATATTTCCTTGGATTTAATGTAAGGCATCTTGCTGAGACTTCAGCAATTGATCGACATGGATGCTTGTGACTGACTTTCAGTAAGGAACAGGTTCATGTGTAATTTAGCTCTCTTACTTGGTATCTTTGTACAGTTCAGAAGCTGGAAATGCTGGAGGACACTATCCTTGCTTACCAGTGCCTTGTGAATTTTCATTAAGCTTCAGACAAAAGGAATGTAGAAGAATCTTCAGGGAAACCCTCCCCAGACTAAATCAACAGGTGCAAAGAGCAAGAATAGCCATTTTCCCCAGAAACAGTGTTCTCCATGCTCCATGTCATCTAACTCTTGAGTGTTATAAGCACAAATACTTAAGACATGAGAGGTTTCCACACTCGCACTGACAAAGGGATCCCACCCTGGGAAATCCCACTTAAATTTTAGCAGCTACAAGGCAGCAGCTCCTGACTGTTGGCAGAAGGGTAAATCCCACACTGACGCATATTTCAGGTTGCAAATCTGTCAACCATGAGAAGGTAGCTGGGCTCTTTATTGAGCTAAGAGATACCGTTCCAGTGCAGAACCCATTTAGTAACAGAAGGAAGCAAAAAGACACAGTAGGATGGTGTGACAGATGGCAATAACTGCATACAATAGCTCATCTTAAGTACGTTAGCTGTTTGCTTTCACTCCTCAGCTGGACAAAACACTTTCCTGACTTCTGAATCATCCACAGCTCATGACCACACTCTTAGTGAGCTGAAGTACATGGCATCATTTCCCTTCCCTGACTCAAGTCCAAGCCAGGGTGATCATGGGGGACTCTCCACTTGGCTACCTGGGCTGGCTGGTTGGTTGGAGGCAATACAGCACGTCACACGTGCATCTGTAAGCTCCACAGCTCCTGCAGCCTGCTGACCCAGCAGCCTCTGTGGAGACGGGCAGAGCATGCACAAGGAGGGACAGGGAGGACCCATGCAGCAGGATCAGAGATAATGTTAAGATTTGTATACAGACAAGGTCTCTCTAAATGAATCAGGTAAAATCAGAATGGGTGCAAAAGGAGCATTTGTGGGGGGATCTTCTTTGTGGGGGATCTTCATTATGGGGGATCTTCTTTAAAAGTCCATGCTCTAAGTAGCCTTGCTATCCTTCATTCCCTCCTGCATATGTTATGCTAGAAACGTCTTGAGAGCCCCTCAGTCTATTTTTCCTCCCTTCCGTGCTCTACCCACCTCTTTGAAATATGTCTTCCCAACCAAGACTGCAAATGCTCTTGTGACTTGAAACAGGTACAATCCAGTTTCCAGGTGGCCCCCCTTCTCGACCCTGCCATGGCCTGGGCTTCCCTCAAAAATTCATGCCAGCTCATTTCTTGATAACTCCCCTCTTCAGGCTTCCCTCCCACTGTCAATATCCTAGCTGCATGCTCATCCTCAGCTACACTTGCACATGAATAAGTAACTGTTCCACAGGCAGATATTTCAGTGTTTGCACTTGTCTTTAGAAATCAAAGCCTTCTCTGATTAAATGCCATTACAATCCAGTGCTTGGACGGATCCAGAGAGATTAATGTGCTTTTGGGCAGCTTTAATGATAATCCTGCTACAGATGGTATTAAGTAAATGTCAGTAACCTGGTTTGAAGGGAGCTTTCACCTCAGGGATCCTTTCCATTTAGAGGAGAGAGGCTCAGCTTGCTTTTTAAGGCTGCATTGTCACACAAGAGAAATCCTGCTTAGAGAAGACTCTTCTTCCTCTGCCCAGTAAGACAAAACGAAGTAAGATGATAAAGGGGTTGACAGATAAATAGATTGAGGTGATTTATAGGGAGCTAACGCAAGGTCTTCCACCTGTAATTTGGTTGAGCTCTTTAGGCAGAGAAAAAGGTGCATGCTGACTTAGGGCGGCAGCTGAGAAGATACAGTTAACTTTCTCTCCTCATGGGGTATACCAAACTCACATTTGCCCTCCCCTAAGAGGTTTCTGGCATGTCTCTAACTCATGTCAAATGAACTTTGCCATGGATAAAAAGGGAGCAGAGAGGAGGAATAGCAAAGAGAGAGGAAGCATTCAGATTTCAGAGGTAAGTGGATGGACAGATTAAGTACAATTGATTTTATGCCATAGCTCTCTGATAGCCAGTCAACCACATGCAGCTTTGAGGCTCATCAATAAGGCACAAGGGGAAAGGCAAGCAGCAGTGCCTTAATCACCACTCACTGACTGGGAAGGGTGGCTGGACACACTGTCCAATGGCTCAAAACCCTCTCTCAGCCCTTCTGGGAAGTAATATCTTCTTTTCCTCAAGAATCTCTCAGCCACAGAGAATCCAAAGTGCTCTCCTGACTTTATGCCACACATACAAACTATTTCACTCACTGGGGAAATGTAGCCTCTCTGTAGGGATGAAATCTGGCAGCTGTTAAATGAAAGACTGCAAAACTACACAGTAATGCAGGACCAGGAAGCAAAAAAGAAAACAGTTCCATCTGGAAGAAAAAGAAAGATTTTGGAAAGCAGAAGAAAACAACCAATGTCAGAATATTATGCCAAGCACCATGGCTGAGGCTCCAGCATTCTAGTAACTGTGATTATATAAGACCTATGATTTATATCTCCTGCTAAAGGTGATAGCTCTTGGGATAGAAAAGCTACATCCCATGCATTTGTCTAGGAGAAAGATAATGAAGAAGAAAGAGCGGAAAAGAAGAGAGACAAAAAGAATCTGAAGTTGAAGCCATTCCTTTAGGATAACAGGCACATACCATGGGTGTACATAATATAAGATCATGGTCATCCTTCATTATCTTCTTCCTGAAGATCTAATTGGCTGTGCAGCCTATAGGAGAGTGTTCCCCAAAAGGGGTTATGTACTTTTCCCAGAAGCACAAGAACTGAGATGTCTCAGATGGTTTGCTCTGTTCACATCTGTATGTGCTCCATTTTCTGCCCCCTCCTGTCCTGTCAGCCTCCATTTTGTACCAACGTCAGCTGATGTCAACATCAGTTGTGCATTCCCCACCATGCCCAATTCAGAGATGGCTGAGAAACTACCTCATTGACATTGATGCCATTCCTCTCCATGTAGGCCCTGTCATTCACCTGTCCCCCTTCCATAAACTCCATGAGAAGGACGCGTCTTGTTGAGAGCTCCCAGTAGATCCTGGGGACCTGAAACAGGAATAGATGGGTTAGGTCAAACAACAGGCTGAGAAAGCAAGGAGAACGTACCACACCCAACTCAGAAAAGGAGCAAAAATGAAGGAGGCTAAAGTGAGGACTTGTTTTTCTCCCAAGCACAAGGGAAGTAAATCCATCTACTGGCTTCTTCCCCAGGACAGCAGCAATGTGGGCAAGGACAACACACCAATTCAACAGCAGCAGGATCTGTCCTCATGCAACATTTCTGGCCACACTCTACAAGATTTTGACCACCTCCCACTCCTACTGATGTCTGAGAGCTTTCTTATCTGCCCTGCAGCTCCTCTAGCTGGTCTGTTTAACTAGTGCCTATTGCAAGTTTCTGAATCATCCACTCAGCTCCTTTAGACAGGAACTGCATCTCATTTGCTACGCACAGGGCCCACTTACACAGCTCTAAAAATGATAAGCCATCATCATAAATTGTATTTCCGCAGTGCCCCTTGGAACACAGACGTCTTTGAGCTGACAAACCCCGCATACTTAGGCCACGTGCAATTGAACTGGGAGAAAAATCAAGTGCACAAATAAGGGGCTTGTCACAGAAACCCTGGGAGACCCTTAACTATCTTATTGCCAACGTGACACAGTAACAAGTGTAAAATGTCAAAGCACTTTTTATTCAATCTGCAGTAAATCAAGCTGAGTGAGGTACCATTAAGGTGCCCAGTGTCACCCAGGGGGCCAGTGACGCAGGCGTCGCTCAGACTGGCTCCCTCTTCTCCATCATCTCTCTTCAGCCAAATTGTTACCATGATGAAGTCCCTACCATCAGGAGTCCTTTTGCTGAAGTTCCCTTTGGATATTGTTACATCGCTGTGCTAACCAATCTCCCAAGCTGTCCAGATTTGCCTTTGCACACGGGTGAAGCCACACAGGTACATTTTATCAAAGATATAAGGGATCTCCACCCATTCCTGTTACTGTGCCCCCATACAGAGATACACATTTTGGATCCTGCAAAGAGAGAGCCAGCTGTGCAGCCCCCTCCCTTCACCTGTCTCACTTGGCCATGGACTCAGGACTCACACAGTGCAAGTGTCCAGCAGGACCACAGGAAGAGGTAAGAGGTGGTGTGTATCTACTGCAACCAAAGCCAGGGGAACCAGCCAGGCCACTGTAGCTCATAGTAAATCCTGAACAAGCAGCACTGGTTTTATACGCTGCTTGTAACTACTGACAGTGTTTTAGTCCCTCACAATCTGCCTCCCCCACTGTTCCTGTCCTACAGAGACCATTTTCCCAATGTCACCCACTTCTACCTTACCATGTCTGTGCTGCTTTAGATGAAAGACTCCTTTCCTGAGCAATTCCAATGTCCCTCAGTCCCACCGTTCAACCCTCCTGGAATACTCTGCATGTTAACCTTGCGTAGAGTTTTGATGCCAGAGGTCCACTATGGGCAAGGGGATCGATCCACCTGCAGCCTTCCCAGCTTATCTGGATATCCATTCTTTGCAGTTAGGTTGGTGAGAAAGTAAACCGACATCAAAACTAACAGTTCCCCACCCCATCTAGCTCACTAAGCCCTGCTGCCTTAGATCATTTCAGATGACACTCATTCTTGTCTGAAGATTTAAAGGGATAAGTCAGTAGGCTTGTAAAGCACTATCGATGCTCTTGGAGATGCCTCGCTCACTCACAGTGAAATTCTTCAGTGATTTTTTTTTAATTACTCACAGATGTTTGGCTGTAATGCTAGTGCATGGAAACAATTTATCTCTGGCTTTAAAAGCTCAAACAGGTTCACAGCACAAAATCTACTTCTCAGCTTTCTAGCGTGTTTAGGAAAATTAATGATACAGGAGCCCAATTCTTCTGTTGCCTTTGGGTGATGAACACGTCCCTGAATTGGCAGGTCAGACAGGAGGATCCATTATTTAGCCATCTCAAGCCATTTGTTATTGTTACACATATTGATATCATGATAGCTCCTTAACCCAGCAAGGAGGTGATTGGCCGTCTCCATGGGGATTTACTTCACAGTATCCTAGTTACAGCTGCAACGGATACAGCTCTCCAAGGTGCATCACTTCTGATAAGCGCCCACTCAGCAAAATCATCGACCTTTGGCCTTCTGTAGCCCTGGTGGCTTTTAGCTATCTGTGTCTATAGGAAGGCCATTGCTGCTACTCCAAAAGGACAGCCCCAAGCCTGGGGTCCAGTGACAAGGAATTATTGCCATTGCATGGAGGAAGCAAGACAAAAATGGATGCATCAGCCTGTAAAGTCTAACAAAAACTCACCTCATTTCAGACATCTGCCACTTCCATCTTGGGAACTCTGCATAAACAGGAGGTGAAAACCACATTTTGATGTGTGGATGTGTGTATGTAGGAGGATCCAAAGGAGGGTGCATTTTTTGCTGCCTTTGTGTACGTGCAAATGCAGTTAGGTCAGTGATTGTGCCCACAGCACTATGTCTGCTTGACCATACTTGTGTATATCCAGAACACACACGGTGGAGGCTTGTGTCTCTCATATGTCAGAAAAAGATTCGTGCACATCCGAGTTTGAAGATGTGAGCTTATGTCTTTCCAAGAATGAGGTGGGTACATGTCTGGTTGTACTTGAGACACCTGTCAGTGACCTTAGTCGGTGCGTAGCAGCAGAGGTGGGTAAAAGTGTCAGAAGGGAAGAGCACAATATGGGTACATATGAGTTTGTGTATGAAGGTAACACAAATGCATGAGCCATGGATGTGTATGAAGAATGTATGCTCAGTTCCAGAGTGAGAATAAGCTTTTTTGCAGGAGGAAGGATTAATGCAAACATGTTTCCTCCTGAGATACAGTGTCCCCAGTCCTGCTTGACATCATCAGCTTCAGTCTAGCTTTTTTGGTTTACGTCCATTTCTTGCCCTCTGTTGAGATAATGCCCAGGAAAAAGTACCATCAGATGGCTCAGAAAAGAACGGCAAATTCACAGGTCTGTGGACAAGTTCAGAAACAGTGTTTGGGAAAATGAGTAGCAGGTTCCAGAGACTGCTGGCCCCAAGACACCACTCCTCATTCAATATATGGTGCCTACAGCAAGAAACAGACAAGGAGGAAGCATGTCTCAGAGCAGTTTCTGGTCCGTATCAGCAGAGCAGTCTAGGATGAACAACACAGAGGGACTGAACTCCATTATCCCTCTGTATGGTTCCTCCAGGTGGTGAATGAGGTGTACAAGACATATAAAGTGAGACTATTAATGCACATACATACACAGAAATAGGTGTTCCCTCACCTTCAGGAAGTCAAAGTTCTTCAGCATATGAGCAACCTTCTCAGCATTCCTGCCTTCATTGAGGAAATCCAGCTCCAACGGCAGATTCTTCTTAGCTTCTTCCACCAGCCACATGAACTCAAAATCTGGAAAGATCTGCTTCACAACCAAGAGGAGAACCTGAGAACAAGGAAACGGACAATCAGCTGCATCCTGGCTTCAAAGCCATGCAGCTACACACAGTGCTGTTTTGATAGGATCATTCCATGTACCTCACAGATCAAAAAAACCCAGTCTGTTCCCCAATTGCTTGTAGGGTTCCTGCAGTATCTTAACATAACACATGGTGTCATGTCTTGGTCGTGCAAATGCAAATTTTGGCTTGTCCTCCACACAGGCACATCTAGGAGTTAAATGATGGCACAGACACCAAAGAGAGACCAGCTGCCTGCTGCCTGGAAGTAAGAGAATGAAGCCCTGGAGAAGAGGCCACACGGTCAGACCTCACCAAGGGCATGGCCCAGGAGCGACTCTATTCCAAGTTCTGTAATTCTACAAGTCACTGTTTGACATCATTTGAACAGTCCTTGGTTAATGCAGAAGAGGAAGATCTAAAGTAAGACTTGTCACCTCTATATTACTTATACCACTGATGAGAAAGAATTTTGTTACTGCAGAATCCACTGGGCAGTTTGGAGAAGACAGTGGAGTTTGGATACAGGTAGTAGGCTACAGATCTTTAAAGGACACTTCTGGTGGGGGTCAAAGGGCGAGTTGCTGCTCAGCATCAGTCACAGCCATCCTCAGCAATGCTGAGGTGGTGTTTTTTAAGTATCATATGTCTACCTCCTGGCATTCTCTTCTTAAAGGGATTAGGTATTCAGCTGCACAGGGTGTTGAAAAGCCCAGCTGAAAAGTTCCTGGAAACATCTGCTTAAAGAAACATTTAAGGGGTGAGTGATGGGCAGGCCTTCTAGAAGAAAATCAAGATTATGTGATTAGATGGCATAATCAAATCCGCACAGCAGCCAGGCATGCTTTCTGTTCAAATGAAGGACCAGTTTCTCAACCAGTGTCACAGAGGTACACATGCTGACAATCTGGACCTCATCTTAAGGAAAGTAACTTGTTTGGCTTTTTTGTAACTCCTTGAGTCATAAAAAAAAGAGTAAAACATAAAAATGTAATCCACTTTGCTGTCGTTATCTTACTTGTTCTGTACATCTATCTGAAAATGAAACCAGAATTGTCGGTGTGTGTTCCTGGACAGTTTCCCTTTCTAGATCTCCACTGTTGAGGTGGGAATTCCTCCACTGCAGGAGGAACATTTAAAGCACACACAGAAAGCTGCTCTCATTGAAATGTATGACAAAAAAAAAAATTTATGAACCATCACTGCTCCTGTTCAGCTGTCTGAGAACATTTGTTCTCCACCTCTGCCTCTACTTCTCTTATCTAAATGTCAGTTCCAAACTCAACGTTCCTTTAAAAATGTAATCACCAGGTTCCAGACACTACTGAATGACTTTTCTGCTGTTATATCTAGAGGCATAAATCCTTTCAAATTTATGTCACCCAAATGAAATGTAACCAGCGATCTTCATGAACATGTACATAAGCTTTATAGGGTCTGCAGGATTATTTAATTGGTGCCTGATGTGACAAAATTAATGTATTGTTTTTTGCTCTCTTTAAATGATCTTTGGAATCAATTTGCCAATTTGATCATCAGCAGGGACATACTTAACAAGTATTTGGCCTGTCACTTTTCTGACATCTGTCTAACATATTGTCTTGAAATAAGTATTGATATAACAAGAGCAGTGAGGTATCTCTCTCTGGACTTATCAGATGCTGTACTGATTTTTAAGGAGTCAGCACTGATGCTACGAAACCTCAAGTGAATTTAGGAATTTTCCATCTAGCTTTTCCCATTCAGATTCCTTCCCATCAGTCTCTAAATAAGACCATCTCCATCAATATTTAAATCAACCTCCTACCTAGCTGCAATGTCTGCCTGTTTCTTAAAGAACCAGAACCTCAGTGCACATAATCTGGCTTTCAGTGCAACCTACGCAAAAATAGTCCCACACAAGGATATGATGATGTGTGTAAGCCAACACTCCACAAGAGACCCTTTAAAAACAGGATTGCATGTGTCATGTTGTGAGCTACTTTCCCATAATTGTGTGTACAAAACAGAACTCAAGGATAACAAACTAGACTGTAGAGGAAGGACAACACTAAATTGCCAAAAGGAAACACACTGTTTTAGTTTCAAGTTTCCCAGGAGGATTAGTCTAAAACCAGAAAAGATAGGAATCATTCTAAAATTATTAGTTTAAATATCTCTTACCAGTAAAACCAGCAATCACCGCAACACAGCGTGATGGGGGCTTTTTTCTGTGGCACTCACTGTTAAAAGGGCAAAAGTCCCAAGGTGGATCTAGGTCTTGGCTCATTCACACACAATCCTGTTATTGACCTGGTCTCACAGTCTTTCATTACCTGCTCATCCTTCTTCATTCACTGCTTAGTTTCTGCCATCCTGTCCTGGGCAGGAGTGAAGGATGCCATAAGTCCCTGGAGAACTTCTGTGCATGTGATGACTCACAAAAGCAAACTCATTGGGCAGACCACTACATTCAGCCCTGGAGAGTACCTGAATCGAATGCAAATCTACAGCTGGAACCAAAGCCAGTTCAAACAGTTCTCTGTTCCCAAACCAGCACTGAAACAGACATATCCCATCTTACTTGGATGTCTTTATTGAACCCCAATATTACTTTCACTATGAGTTCAAAATGAATATTCGGCTGAAAACTGATGTGTTCCAGCTGGAAACAGCTGTGCTTCTTGGCAGACTAGCCAGGATTTCTCAAAGCAGGGTGTTTTAGCCGCCTAAAGAAGCTTCAGTTATCACATAATGGTTTTGGTTGGAAAGGTCCTTAAAGTTCATCTAGTTCCAACCCCTCTGCCATGGGCAGGGACACCTTCCACTAAGTCAGGCTGCTCAAAACCCCATCCAGACCAACCTTGAACATTCCCAGGGAAGGTGTATCTACAACTTCTCTGGGCAACCTGTTCCAGTGCCTCACCACCCTCACAACAAATAATTTCTTCCTTACATTTAATCTAAATCTGCCCTCTTCCAGTTTAAAACTGCTACTTCTCATCCTATCACTACACTCCCTGATAAAGAGTCCCTCTCCATCTTCCCAGTAGACCCCCTTTAAGTACTGGAAGGCCTCTACAAGGTATCCCTGAAGCCTTCTCTTCTCTAGCCTGAACAATCCCAACTCTCTCAGGCTGTCCTCATAAGGGAGGTGCTCCAGCCCCCTGATCATCTTCATGATCCTCCTTTGGACCCGCTTGAGCAGGTCCATGTCCTTCTTAAGTTGGGTCCCCCAGAGCTGGACACAGCACTGCAGGTGGGGTCTGACAAGAGCGGAGTAGAGGGGGACAATCACATCCCTCAACCTGCTAGTCATGCTTCTCTTGATGTAGCCCAGGATACAGTTGGCTTTCTGGCTGCAAGTGCACATTGCTGGTTCATAGTCAGTTTTCCATCCACTAATACCCCCCCAAGTCCTTTTCCTCTCTCTGAGGGCTGCTCTCAATCCACTCATCACTCAGCCGGTATTCGTGCTTGGGATTGCCTCAACCCATGTGCAGATCCTTGCAGTATGCTTTGTTGAACTTCATGAGGTTTGCACAGGCCCACCTCTCCAGCCTGCCAAAGTCCCTCTGGATGGCATCCCTTCCCTCCAGCGTGTCGACTGCACCACAGAGCTTGGTGTCGTTGGCAAACTTGCTGAGGGTGCGCCCAATCTCACCGTCGTTGTCACCAACAAAGATGTTCAACAGCACCGGCCCCAACACCGACCCCAGAGGAACGCCACTCGTCACCACTCTCCACTTGGACATCGAGTCATTGACCACAACACTTTGAGTGTGACCATCCGGCCAATTCCTTATCCTCCGAGTGCTCCATCCATCAAATCCATGTCTCCAATTTAGAGACATGGATGTCGTCTGGGACAGTGTCAAAAGCTTGCACAGGTCCACGTAGATGACATAAGTTGCTCTTCCCTTATCCACAAGCCCTGTAACACTGTTGTAGAAGGCCACCAAATTTGCCATGCACAATTTAACCTTAGTGAAGCCATGTTGGCCATCACCAGTCACCTCCTTATTTTCCACGTACCCTAGCATAGCTTCCAGGAGGATCCACTCCATCATTTTACTGGGCACAGAGGGCCTGTAGTTCCCTGGGCCTTCTTTATTTCCCTTTATAAAAATGAGGGTTATGTTTCCCCTTTTCCAGTCAACAGGAACTTCACTGAACTGCCATGACTTCTCAAATATGATGGATAGTGACTCAGCCACTTCATCTGCCAGTTCCCTCAGGACTTGCGGATGCATCTGATCAGGTCCCATGGACTTTTGCACCTTCAGGTTCCTTAGATGGTCTTAAACATGATCTTCTCCTACAGTGGGTTGTACTTTATTCTCCCAGTCCCCATCTTTGCCTTCTGCATCCTGGGCAGTGTGGCTGGAGCCCTTGTTGGTGAAGACTGATGAAGAAATGTTGTTGAATACATCAGTCTTCTCCATATCCCGGGTGACCAAGTCTCCCTTTTCGTTCCAGAGAGGGCTTCCATTTTCCATAGTCTTCCTTTTATCACCAATACACCTGTAAAAGCTTTTTTTGTTGCCCTTGACGATCCTGGCTAGATTTAATTCTATCAGGGCTTTGGCCTTCCTAACCTGATCCATGGCTACTTGGACAGTTTCTCTGTATTCCTCCCAGGCTACCTGTCCTTGCTTCCACCCTTTGTTATGTGCTCCTCTGAGACGGTTTGGCAGGATCCTTGATTTCTGATTTCCTGTGATGGAGAACTGTGTGTCATTGCATCAGCAGTACCCTCTAAACACTCATCAGACCCCTTCAGCTTAATCTTCCCTTCTTTAGTCCCATGGACATACCTGTCAATGGATGTGCACATTACTTGTGATACATACAGATATATGCTTATTTGGAGAGCTAAAAGTTTTAGTGTTACCATTTACAGACCTACTCCTGCCCCTCTCCTCCACCTCAGCCTCAACTTCCATTTCCTGTTCCCTACCATACTGCTGTCATCTTTGACTACTGTACTGGAATGCAGTGCCACAGCTTTTCTCCAGTTCCTTCCTTCAGTGGGCTAGATTTAGAAGTTTGGGAGAAGCTACAACATTGCACTGGGAACGTGAGTGGTACCCACCATTCAGGAGAGGAACAGGAGACAGGCATTAAAACTTTTTTCCTAGCTGAATCCCTCATTTGTGTGTCTGCCCCTGTTAGGTGACCCTCTCCATATTTCAGTGGTTTTGTTTCCAGCATGAATCAGCTCAGTATTAAGGAGCTGATCAAGAAACAAAACCGAATCACAACAGTCTCAGCCACTGCTGAATCCACACTGGAATTTAACTGAAAAAAAAAAATTCTAATCACGGAGAATGATTTTTCCTTGGCCACACAGCCCTGACTGCAAGAACTGAGACTAGTTTAATCAACCAGTTAATGGGCACACAGGCTGAAGAGAGACTTCAGGACTCACCCTCTAGTTCTTAACTCTAATATAGACTTACTCTGATGTCATTCATGTTTATCTGTCTTCTCCTTCTGCCCTCCTCCTTCACTCTTACCCTCTTGTTCAGTCTTTCTGTCCACACAATCACCAGCACCGCAGTCCTCACCAGCTTTCTGTATTATCCCCGTAAGACAGCGTTTATCTCTGTGGAGATTCCAAAGCTAATGGATGGTGTAGATATACCTGCTTACACCATGGATGAACGTGGCCCCCACATGTTTCAATGGCAATTGCTCTGTAAGTCAAAGTCAACAGGCAATTTTACCTCCATGAGCAAAATATCCTTGGAGCTCTGAGCTTGGACCTTTGGGTGCTGGATTTTCACTGCCACCGTTCTCCCATCCTGCAGCACTGCCTTGTGCACCTGGGCTAGTGATGCTGCTCCCAAGGGAGTGTCCTCAAAACTCAGGAAGAGCTCTTTTATCTGCCGGGAGAAGAGAAAGAGGCATCAGCTTGGCCTGCCAGAGACTGTCCTAAGGAAAGCCCTGCCCACAGGGCAGAGACAGCATGTACCAAAGCTGGGCAGGCTCAGCCTTTTCATCCTTCCTCTGTCCCCTGCCTGAGCCTTGTCACTGCCTGGCCTCCCAAGCACAGAAGTGCCCTGGAGATACTCTGCTTCTGGAAACTTGTGGCAGAGCCCCAGCAGAGCAAATCATCTAGGACATGGAGTGGCCAGGCAGCACGTGAGGGACCCCTCCAGGCTATCCTGAAAATGGGTTGGAGCAATTATGGTCAGCATCCGTGATTGTTACTGGGTGCAGAAGCCAACACCTGCCCCTTTGGATGCATTTATTCTGCAGATATTTAATACCACCCACCATCACACCCTGAAACTTGACAGTGTGTATTCCCATGCATTACAGCAGTGTCAGCTAGCTTACTTGGGGAAAGCCAGCACATGACCGGGAGCAATGGTTAAGGGCTGGATTCAGGGCAGGTGCAGTTTTCACCTCTGATGACTTGGCCTGAAAACATGTTTTATGTGATGGACTTTCTCACCGCTCCAATAAAAGTAACCTGTGCTCTCAGCTCAGAGGAAGCACCAGGTGGGGACAGCAAAGCACTTTGCAGGCAGGAGAGGAAATTATTAGCAGATCTGGCTGTGAAACCCAGGACTAGACTATAAGGAAAGTTACAGATGAAGAAGTAGATTTACCAGGGGGATCTCCAGGAAGCAAAAACCTAGACAGACATGGGTGAAGTAATGGGAGATGGGCAAAAGCCTGTCTGCCTTGCGTAATACAGCACCCTGCTAGAGAACCTCAGTGCTCGGGCCCTGAGAACACTATTACCATGGTAATGTGGTATCAGCCTGGCTGACTAGCCAAGTCCCTGTGCAGTTAATTAGCTCGGAGGGAGTGCCAACATGGTTATGTGGCTTCAGGAAGGGAGTTAGTTCATGTTATGCTAGTTGAGGGTTTCTGTCCTGCTCTGTAGAGCAAGGTGCAAACAAGCTCTGAGGTATCCAGAAATCAGCAAAGGGAACCTGTCCCACCCCTTCCTGCAGGCTGGACTGATTTGGGGTGAGCAGTTGAGAAGCCTGTAATTTATGCAGTAACAGAAAAGAAAGAATGTCAGTGCATTTTTATAACCTGCTTTTTAAAAGGTAATTAAAGATGGGAGCTGCAGTGAGCTAGTAATTAAATATGAATAAAGACCTTCTAAGTAAAGTCTTCATGCAAAGCATTAAACGAATATTCTTTTTGCTGACAAGGAAGAAAAATACTACACAAGGAGCAGCCTGTTCCCTCCTGCAGCTGCCAGGGAACAAGCCCCCTCCCACACCATCCTACCACTTCTTCTCTCCCAGCCCCTTCCACAGAAAACTATTGCTAGCAACAAACTGGAGCATTTGCAGCAATTAGATTCCAACAGAGACTCAGCTGCCTCCAGTAATTCACTACGAAGGTGCATTTTTTTTATTTATTTATTTCCCTTTGGTCCTGGCGGCAAAATCAATTAAGTAAAACAACCGCATTTAAAAACAACTAGTTATGTGTTTTTTAATTACAGCAGGTCCATAATTCAAACCTATTGACATTGATGTCTCAAGAGAAAAAAGGTTTTCCTCTTCCCTCCCCCCCCACCCCCCTTCTTTTCTCTATCATTTCTGGATTTTGAGATTCTCATTTCAGATTAATATAAAGAAAGAATCATCTACAGGATGACAAATGGCTCCGGGGACATGTGTTCAAGACACAGGGATTTACACCTTCGTGTGAAGTTTGTCTTATCAGCTGAAGAGAGGACCTGTTAAGGGGAAGAGACTTAAGGTAGCCAGGAGCATATCAGGCTACAAGATCCCATCAGGAAGGAAAAAATGCAAACAGAGAACTTGCTACATGAGGCCAAGCTGAGGCTTTCTTCAACTCTCTCACTGCCCTACATCCTCATATTAAAGAGATGTACCCTTTACAGAGTAGCAGTCAATATTACTAGTCTAACTGTCATAAGAACGGTAACATCCTCCAAAGGTTAGAGCACAGGAGTGGGTGAGGTACGTTTATAGTAAGACCACATATAAATTGGATAAAATTCCATTTGCTCTGGATTTCAGAAGTTTTTCATTGCCTACATGGTCAGTCTAACTATTTTTACCAGTATTGAATGCATACAGGGGAAAAAAAAGCTGCACATATTCCCTCTGGCAGGAGTAATATCGACAATATTCTTGTGTGACTAAGTTTTCTAAGGAAACATCACTTGAAGAAAGCTGTCTCTAGGAGTTGTTTTCAGCAGAAGAATTTAATTTAAAAACTTGTTATTTAGGACATGAAAGCCAGGTTAGCAGTCATGTCCACTGGAGCCAGCGCAGTGGCCCTGATGCAATTCAAAGGGGAATTTGTGCGTACCCACAGGCTGCAGGCGAGGGCAGCAAGGCGAGGGACGGCAACAGGGCCAGAGAATTGATGGCTCCTCCAGGAGCAGAAGGGTAGAGCGTGCACATGGGGGAGGGAGTGGATCACAGCCAGGCCATTACATGAGCAGGTGTGAGGCTGAGATAAAGCAGCAGCACAATTACAGCTGGGCTCCAGGTCCCCCCACTTAGCAAATCACCCTCATTCATTACGAAATTGTCCTTTTGCAGCTCACTGGAGGCAGCTAGTGCCTCGGATGCAGGCTGTGTGTCCCAGACAGGCAAAACTGAGCGAGAGGCTGTATGACATGGAAGCAGAGAAGCGGTGAGCCAGGCTTCCACACTGCCTGCCGAACAGCAGGGTCGTTCCCAAGGGAAGGCGGCTGCGCTCATTTCATACAGGCGGGGAGTTCCTGGAACAGGCTGCACGCTCTTACTGCTCACAAGCACCCAGCTAATAAGCACCCTTCACAAAAACTCTAACCATCATTTCCAGGATGGATAATTAGCAAGCAAAGGTCTGGGACAGTCTCAGAGCCCATCTGACATGGTACTTAAGGAACTCTCAAGCTTCTTTCAGGCCACAGCTGGTCTCAAAGGGCTTTATCAAACCGGTTACCATCTGTAATCCTGGCAGGAGATGAAACAAACATAGTTTCCAGACAGGTTTAAAAAAGGGAAAAGGCACTTCAGGGCTGCTCTTTCAAAGGAGTAGGACAGCCAGCTGCAGGTTTACAGCTGTACAGGTGAGCGGTGTCCCTGCATGCAGTGGTTTCCCTCACTAGCCTGCTGCACAGCCAGCTCCCCATCGGGCACGTGTTCAACCAGCAAATGAATGCATCACTGTACTTCGCTGGCTGGAAACACACTGTTTAATTCTAAAGAATGAAACTCGTTTAATTTTAAATATGCAAAACCTTTTCATGATTGTTGGCATTAGTATTCACACCTCAGGAAGCTGATATAAAAGCTCTTACAAGATCTATCGGCTTAGACACTTATTAGTATGCACTTGGGCTGAGGTTGCACCTAGAGACCATCATTAAGCCCAAGATACTATTGGTATGAGGTGCACAGCCACCGCAGGCCCTGCACAAACTCACCCTTTCCAGGAGTCTCCAGTTGTCACCTACAGGCCTCTTCACATGCTGAAGTGCCTTTCCAGAGCACACACTGCTGCTCTGCCCAAGGTCTGCAGCACACACCAGCTGATGCTGCAATGCTGAGCATCAGAATGCCTCAGTATTCTTTGTGAATCCTGTCCTTAAACACTTAGGAAGTTACTGGAAGTCAACTGGATTTAAGGTCCCAAATCCCAAGTCCTTTCTGAAAGTATTACCTTACACAACCTGCCCAGCATGTTCTGAGAAGGCTCTGACAGAGCTGGGATTTAACCCAGATATCCCAAGTTCCAGCATTATCTCCAAACCATAAACGTTAAATGTGCCTGTATTTCTAGTTAATTTCTTTTGAAATATACTGCCTCTTAATCCCAACCTTTTTATATCCCTGTGCGGCAGCAAATGATCAACTATTACCACCTGGTTTCAACCTGCCAGCTCCAGAAAGAGGTATGTTCCCTTCCCTCTCCAGAAAGGCTGCTAACAAGGTACCCTGAAGCAGGAGCCTGAGTCACGGAACCCCTTCCTGGTCCAGCACTACATAGCACCATCCCGAGTGGGACGTGGTAGCTCTGCCATAGTGACCACAGCAGATGAATGGTGGCCATGTGCCAGCAGTCTGTTCAGGACAAATTTAGGGTGCAGTGGGATGCAGAATCACTAAAAAAAGGTGTCTGAACAGCCCAGCTTTGTTTGGCTGGCAGGCTGAACCCCCTCCAGCATGATGTACCAAAGCCCAGTATGTGGTACAGCCAGAATGAGGCCACTATGGGGTCTAAGTAACAATATTTTGCATTACAGGTCCTATCCAGGAAGCTTCCAGTGGAAGCCAGGACAGTTTTGAAAATTCTTGTTTTCCACAACCACTTACTAACAACCTTTCCTCAGCTCTGCCAGAGCTGAACCAGTCCAGTACAGGTGGTGTCAGTGAGGAGACTTTCAAATGCTCAGCATTTCCCAGGGGAAGCGAGTCCTTCACCAAACCATTTCAAAACTGCCTTCGAATATTTCCCAGAACTTCAGCCTGGAAAGACAGACAATGGGGAGAGAATGTCACAGAGCTCTATAAAATCACCTCTATCACGGAGAGTGGGATTGGGAATGCTCATTCAATCCCTAGAAGGACTCAGGAGCAGCAAACTGCTGATTAGCACACAAGATTACCAGATAGCAAGATTAAAACAAGCAAAAAGAAGTATTTTTCCCCCCACCAATTAAGATGTGGGACTCATTGCCACAGGATGTTATGGATACCAGAAGTCCAGGTGGGTAGGTAAGTCAATGAAGAAAATCCATCACAAATTATTAAATAACAAAATATAATCTCTGGCCCAGGAAATCTCTAGCCTTCAGATTACTGGAAGCGAGAAGATCATACCAGGTAAAGCTTAACTGTATGCCTGCCATGCTTTTATAGCCTTTGTCTCTTAGCCAACACTGGCTACA